GGGGGGGGGGGGAGTCTCTGTACTTAAAGCACTTGAATAAAACATATTGAGAATCTGAGAAGTTCATTCTCAAGACATCAAGTCCATTGAAATGCAGAGTTTTGAGGGAATAATGTAGAAATTCACTTTACTTGAAATGCCTCTAATAATACTTAAAGTAAAAAATTTGCAAGACTATTTTTGCAGAATTAATGCAGGAAATGTAAGATGCAGTCTCACAAACATGTACTTCCTTACAAAATAAACAAATAAGTATTTTCAGACACAAACAAAAGAGAAAAATATATCACAACGATTCCTGGATGAAAATAGATAAAAGGGAACGTTAATGGAGGACTATTCAGAACACTGCATCAAGAGTCGGCAACTTGTATCAACGAGAAATCTTCATCCTGCCTTCGCCAAAGAGCCAGAGGCAAATTCTGTCCACAAGGAATGAGAAAATGAAATCAGCGAAAAGAACAGCTACAAGAATCACTCGGAACTGCAAAAAAGAAAAATAATTTTAGAGGGTACATTCTTCATAATCTAAGGTAGACAAGTCATAGAGAGTTTAAAAGCGATAGTTCAGTTCTCTGTTAAAAAAAAATCATGAGAGATAATTAGGCAACATTAAATGCAGTTGTCAAATCCGTCCAATTGTGTGACCAAGAGTTCTTTTGGGTTCTCAATTGGACTATCCTCATGAAAAAAATGCTATCTATGATGAGTTCCATCTGTGGAAATTCATACTTTTCTAAATGATATCCAGTCATTCTACATACAAATAAAAACTGTTACCTACTAGATTTTTCACAATTTATTTCAACAAGAACAGTAATGAGATTGATAGAGTACCACAATAATTACAGATTCAAAAGGTGGATTGATGCTATTCACTCAGGAGCTAAATAGCATGCAACATTGGGTCGCACTCAGCAGAAGGGAATGGATGCAATCACAGTGTTGTAAAAATCGTGCATCTTCATCTAACAAAATCCTTGAGTATCAAATAATTTTTGTTTTTCTTCCAAAAAATGGTTCATTCAAGAGAGAAATGCTCGTGTTACTACTGAGCAAACAGGTATTTGGCATTTTTTAAGAAAAGGTTGTGGATTTTTAAAACCCTATAATTACATTGGTTCCCTTCCACTAAATGCAATAGAAATCATTTTTTGGGCATTGTTTTGATGCAAGAGTTGTTTCATCTTGGGATATTTTACTCCACCACTTTGCATCGATTTCTGCATGAAACAGAAAAATGACAGGACGAATCATCTCAAGTTTGACTGATTATAACACACTTGTTGATGGAAGTCTTAGCTTTGAGATGAGTGATACTTACATCCGAGGGAAAATCAACAATTTCTAATTTAGCTGCTATATCTGGGAAAAGCCCCATTGCCAAAGCTAGAACAACACCAGCTGAGCCAACTATACTCCATAATAGTGGCCTGTTTTCAACTAAACTTTCCATGTATGGGTGCCCCTGGAAATAGAATACACAATTCAGAAGTTAGTATGATAAATATATGCTAGAGAAGTTTCAAAATTATTGTATCTTACAGCTTGAATAATAAACAGAATGAGTAAGAATTCAATATCATTGGGAACTCTTACAGATTAAGGAGGTTTTTATGAATTAAACTTTGACCGCCACCACCAGAAATGAATCAAGATAACTTGGCAGGAAAGAAAGATAATACTAATTGTACTGGTTTATGCTAAAAGGAACTACATTGCCGACAAACCCTATGTACATAGTTCTTTTGAGAATACATAAATGGGTTAAATGCTGGTTCGCTGATTTTTAATATTTAAAACAAAAAAAATGTGGATTTCAAGGCTGAAACTGCAAGCAGTGAGAATGAATTTTTCACTTTTCGCTCAAGTATTTTTTATCTTTTCAAAACAGAGCTAAACTTAATTATTTTTTAAAGTTTTCATTAATAATTTTGATAAAAGAAAAAACAAGGACACACAAATTTTTGGGACTATAAATATTACTTTTTTCTGAACAAATAAGTGGTAGAAGGAAAAAAGCGAAGTTGCGAACCAAGAACTCATCATCGGTATAGTCCCGCTGCTGATGAGATAAAAGAAGTTGCAAGGACAGAAATTCCATCTAACTGCTCCCCAAAATTTTTTGGATTCTTAAAAAATTGAGAGGGGAGGATCTAAAGTACTGATGTAAAAGTCAAAATATCTTGTATCTATCATGTTTTGGTTTACAGGCTGCAGAACTTACGATGGTTTTTTTCCCTCCTCATTTGCTTGAATTTTTGGAAAGGAAAATACAAAGGTACTAAATTTTGCAGCAAAAGATTTTATCTTACAAAAATATAAATCTATATAAACATTTGAAGACTTACCCGATAGTTGATGGCAAAAGTTGCTATTTGCAGAGTCATTGCAATAATATATACAGCACTATTAAGAAGACTAGCTTCAAAAGGTACTTCCTCCTCAGCATCTGGTGATTCCACTTTAGGCGCATCACTTTTCTTCGGAGGCGATATGAGGCTTGCTTGTTGGACGAGGAATATCAAGCAAGCAAAGTGAACAAAAAACTGCAGCATGACTGTAGAAATTGTATAAAGGTTGAAGATATTTGGCAGCGGCCTCTCTTTCGACAGCACCTTCAGAGGTTTTGACCGAGATATGAACAGGAAACACGCAGCCAGGAGTAGACCCTGGATGGTTGCTTGTACATCACTAAACTTAATACCCTCAATATACAAAACTGACTGACTATACGCTAAAATCAGTGCATTCAAAGCAAGAATTTTGAACATTTGAAGAGTTGTTACTAATGTACAGCGCCCCTGTTTGATTACATGACATATACACATTATTGATGAGAGTTTGCTAGTGAATGGAGCCGCAATACTTGCGTCACCTAGTTTCACAAACTGCGGTTGATCAGCTTCATTGATTTCTTTAAGCATTTTGTTCATCCGTGAATTCAGCTGATGGTTGAATGATTGTCTATGGTGAGAAGGTTCGCGGAATGGTCGTGAAGGTGAAACTTCTTTTGGCACTA